GAAAGTATTCGGCCCCCTAGAACTTTTCAACCTTTTGCCACATTTCAGGCTACAAACATAAATATATAAAATTTTGTTTTTTTGTGAAGAATCAACAACAAGTGGGACACAATCGTGAAGTGGAATGATATTTATTGGATGTGTCACACTTTTTTAACAAATAAAAAACTGAAAAGTGGGGTGTGCATATTATTTGGCCCCCTTACGTTAATACTTTGTAGCGCCGCCTTTTGCTGAAATTATAGTTGCAAGTCGCTTGGGGTATGTCTCTATCAGTTTTGCACATCGAGAGACTGAAATTTTTGCCCATTCTTCCTTGCAATGAATATAATAATTTACTTAATAAAAACAACAGACATTTCTGAAGGCCTCTAGATTAGTTATGGGAAAAATGGAGGAGTTTAAAGGGAGAGGTTTTGAAGGAAAATGTATGTCTGTAGACCAGAACAGCACGCTCCTTTCAAACGCAGCTCGCCCTCGGTCCACTTAGTGCGTGAAGCTTGTGATGACTCTTTACCTTGGCAGAGGATGGGTCCGCTACGGTCAAGAGGTCCCTGGCATGCTACCTTTCAGCGTCTCCTCAGGGCGGCTGTGACTCGGCAGAAGTCGTGAGATACTCCGTTCAACAGAACAAACTTCCTCAGAAGTTGTAGGGCATTCGCCGGGTGAAGTCACAGCGAGGCGCCGTGACTCCTACAGAGATGGATGACTCCATCACACTGAGTTCAACTCAAGACTGAGAACTGTAGAACTGCAGCACTGACTCCAGAACTCCACTCCAGAACTCCAGCGCTCTACAGAACTGCTAGAACTCCAGAACTGCTAGAACCGAATAATTCCAGGAAGTGTCGACTTTTAAAAAGTTCTCACTTTAGGACCTCCTGATTGGTTGAAGCAACAACAGGGGTGGTTCTAGTGATGTCAGAGGGTCATTACAAGTCAAGAAAACAGCAGGAATGCTTTGAGAACAGTTAGTTACAGACGAGAAAATATTTTGGAGAAATTACAGACTTACAGGTGCCAGTTTTCTTATTTACTGTCTGAGAGTTTTAAAAACACGACACTTCGTTCCAATAACTTCCCTCTGACTTTTGACCGACATCACTACTTTCTCATTTAGAAAGAAGATCAAAAATGCATAATTACTTTGTAAAATAGACATTTTATCTTGATTTCCAATTTAAATGAGCATTAAAAATCATTAATACTGTTTCACAGTTGATTTAAAATGAGTGGTTCACTTCAACATTTAGAAATGATATGAACTAAACACACTTTTGATTTACCAAGATATTGTAAAATAGTGATGATAATATAAAAGAAGAGTGTTCTTTCAATTGATTACTTTAGGATACAATTAGACAGTCTCTGGATGAGCTAATTTGTATTTCTATATTCAAATCAATGAAATAACAGTTCCTGTCCCATGAAGGTCTTCAGAGGCAGGTTTTGGTCGGAGGCCTAGTTCACTACAGTAGCGTTTGTGAATAGCAGTCTTCAGCTCTTTCCACAGATTCTCCACTGGATTCAGGTCTGGACTTTGACTTGGCCATTCCAACACCTGGATATGTTTATTTGTGAACCGTTCCATTGTAGATTTAGCTTTATGTTTTGGATCATTGTCTTGTTGGAAGATAAATCTCCGTCCCAGTCTCAGGTCTCTTGCAGACTCAAACAGGTTTTCTTCCAGAATGGTCCTGTATTTGGCCCCATCCATCTTCCCATCAATTCTGACCATCTTCCCTGTCCCTACTGACAAAAAGCAGCCCCAAACCATGATGCTGCCACCACCATGTTTGACAGTGGGGATGGTGTGTTCAGGGTGATGAGCTGTGTTGCTTTTACGCCAAACATATCGTTTTGCAAGACCCTGTTTTTAACATTTTTACAGCCACTTTATTTACCAATGGATTTTATAAAATAAAATATTGGAAAATGTTATGCTGTATTCTAAATTTAAGATAAGTTAACGATTAGAATATATTAAATTATTAATAATTTAATAAGATCAATTTAGATTTTATTATGCACAAGTTAATAAAGTTAATACATTAGTCTGTCAGTCACTGAAATTACTCATGAAACTAGCTGAAGTTAACATTTATTCCTTGAAAGTTTGTAGACCAAAAAAAGTAAGTTACCTGGATATGATTGTCTTTCAGCAGAAGATACAAAACATGCCGCCAGCAACGATAAAGTTCCAGTATTTCCTCTAGAATTAAAAACGCAGTAAAAACAACAACATTTCGATCTCCATTCTTTCTTTGGCTGAGCTCTGTCACGGTTGCTAGGTGACAAGACATACACTAACGTAACCCTGAAGGCTAGACTTGTCCCAATTCACAGCCGCTGACTTCCGGTCTACGTGGTCTTTGAAGGACCCAGCCTACGTTGACCGGGTGGGCCGGGTCCTTTGAAGGATGCAGCCATTGGATTGGGACACAGCTTTAATTGGAGCTTTTGAGATGTGTAGTGAACTCGGCCTCCGGTCAAACCTGCCTGTGAAGACCTTCATGGGACAGGAACTGTTATTTCATTGATTTGAATCCAGAAATACAAATTAGCTCATCCAGAGACTTTCTAATTGTATTCTGAACTAATCAATTGAAAGAACACTCTCTTTTTCATATTATCATTACTATTTTACAATATCTTGATAATCAAAAGTGTGTTTAGTTCATACCATTTTTAAATGTTGAAGTGAACCACTCATTTTAAATAAACTGGGAAACAGTATTAATGATTTTTAATCCTCATTCAAAGAAGAAATCTAGTTAAATGTCTATGTTACAAAGTAATTATGCATTTTTGATCTTCTGTCTGAAATGAGAAAGGTGTGATGTCGGTCAAAAGTTGGAGACAGTCGCAAACAAGTTATTGGAACGAACTGTCTTGTTTTTAAACCTCTCAGACAGGAACAAGAGAACTGACACCTGTAGTTTTTCTCTCTTCGTCAAAACATTTCTCTGTCTGTTCCTAAACATCTCCGCTGTTTTTCTGACTTGTAATGACCGTCTGACGTCACTAAAACCACACCCCTGTTGGTTCTTTCAACCAATCAGGACTTCCCAAAAGTGACCGGAAGCAGAACTCTTTAAAAGTCGACACTTCCTAGTTCCAGTAGTTCGGAGGGAAGGTTCTAGTTAGAAAGTTCAGTGCTGGAGAAAGTTCTGAAGTGCTGGAGCTAGTTGGGAGAAGTTCAGTTCTGGAGAAAGCTCTGAAGCTGGTTCTGATGGAGTTCGGCTGGAGTTCCTGTCGGAGCCACAACGCCTCGCTGTGGCTCCACCCGGCGAATGCCCTATAACTGCTGAGGAAGTTTGTTCTGTGGAACGGATTATCTCACAACTTCTGCCGAGTCGCAGCCGCCCTGAGGAGACGCTGAAAGGTAGCGTGCCAGGGACCTCTTGACCGCAGCTGATTCATCCTCTGCCAAGGTAAAGAGTCGTCACGAGCTTCACTACCATTGTACCGCGGGCGAACTGCGCTTGAAAGGAGGGTGTTGTTCTGGTCTACAGACATACATCCTCATCCACCCATTTTCTCTCCATTTAAACTCCTTCATTTCCCATCTTTAAACTTCTATCTTGCCAGTAATTAATCCAGATATCTTCAGAAATGTCTGTTGTTTTTATTAAGTAAAATGTGCCAAGTTTTATTAATCAGTCGATAGCATAATCAAGTGTACAATGTTTTGATGTTAAATTTTGATTCTGTTAATAAATGACCACATTCATTTTGATGGGTCAAAGAAAATTAACGTCTCATGTCACTGATTAGACCATCTCCAACACAGTACCTCTGTCACATATCTGTCAAGTAGCTCGAAAAAGTGAGAACCCGTTATTAAAAAATTGACTGTAGTGGAGCTCTGAAGCTAACTGAAGCTAACCTAGCCTTAGTATACTACAGATGTTAATCAGCTGCTGTTGGTCGTAGAAAACTGCATTGTTGCCATGGTTACGCATCATAACAAATGTCCAAAACTAAAAAAAGTTTCAGTAAAATTCCTTCCAGCTGCACAGCATCCAATACCAGAGGAAACAATCATCCAAAAAATGTGATTTGCATCCAAAAAAAGAGGAATTAAAGTTTCCAAAAGCAAAATCTCTGAATGAAAGTGATAGAGCTGCTCCAAGTCCATGCTCAACATGCTCATGACCTCATTTCCTTAAATGATTTCCTAAAATTGAAGTTTTAATTTAATACTATTTATATCTTAACGTGTTTCTGGATCTGCCATTGTGTCATTGTTTCCTGTTCCTCTCAAACCCAGCCGGTCAAAGCAGATGGCCACTTGTCCTGAGCCTGGTTCTGCTAAAGGTTTCTTCCTCATGAGGGAGTTTTTCCTTTCCATTGTTGCGTTCATGCTTGCTCAAGATGGGAGTTCTGCAATGGAGTTAAATTCAAAGCAGTCTGCTCCTCGGATACTGTTAAATTATTTTTGTATATGAATGTTTCTGTTCACTTATTCTTTTTATATATGAATGTTTCTGTTCACTTGTTCTTTTTATATATGAATGTTTCTGTTCAGTGCCTTGAGTTGACTTCTGTTGTGACTTAGTGCTATATAAATAAACTGAATTGAAATGAATTAAATGTACACCAAAATAAACAGCTACTTCACACATTTTTCTTTGGTGTTTCAAGCACAGATATTTTTATGTTCTTATTGTCAGCTGGACAAAGCTCTCTGTACAAACTATTACCATCTTAAAACACTGGTTGGAAAAGAATGGTTCACAAAATGAAAGCTCCAATTTTAAATTAAAGCAAGGTGTTGCTACCTTATTGTGCTCTGAGATGACTTTGTTGTGACTTGGCGCTATATAAATAAACTGAATTGAAAGATTAATTAATATTCATACACTGCTTCATGAAGTATTTAGCTAAATAGTTTCATGCAAACAGAGACACAGGTAAAAACCTGTTTGTCCACTTTCAGCTCCAGGCAGCAGATGATATTAAGGCAAGCAGATATTGGTGTGTATCTGGATGTGTACCTCGGTAGACGGGTCGTATGTAGAAGTAGTTCTCATAGCTCGGGTGTTGCTGCCGTGGCTCAGCTCAGTGAGGGCGAAGCATCCAAACATCTAGAATCAAATCATCACAATGTTATAACACATGAGAAGTTCTGACTCCAACTCTGACCTACTGGAACTCGGATTTTCTTACCGTCATGTCTTCAATGCCTTCAACATATTTACTGTGCCTGCTAGACCCTGAATTGGCAATGGTCCTACCAAACATCTGCAACAACATTGATAAGTGTTACCAGAACAACAACTAAACAAACATAATCAAATCTGCAAGAAAGCACGTTTAACAAAACAAAAACAAAAACCAACAAAGTTCAGCTTTACTGGGAAATCATTTGCCCATGATCCACTGGAAGGTAACCCCTGCAACGTTTCCTCCAGCATTATCTAAGCAGGGTGGCTTGCCCCGCATAAAGATCATAGCATATAACAAATTAATAAACTTTTGGACATTATTGCACTAAATGTGTGATGCAGGGCAGACACCAAATATAAGATAAGATAGAACTTTATTGATCATGCAGGAAATTGTTGAAATTGTGATACATCATTACCCTCTCCCCCACAACCCACGACCATTATATACAAAATGTAAATGTATTCAGCATACACACACGTCTAACTTGTGCACACAGCCCAACTCAATCCAACAAATTTAATCTGCTGAAGTGCATTTTAGAAATGGTTACAGTCAGCTTTGGATAAGTTATTTTCCAATATTGATTATATACCATTGGAGGTGAGGGGTTAGACATGGACATGAGGACAGCTCCCTGCAGGTATGAAAATAGAGTCGTAGCTACTGGGATGAGTTGGAGATGCTGATAACAAAATACAACAGGCTATAGATGAGTTAAAGAAGGGCATGACACACCCACAACAACTCTGAATATTTTGAGAGAATGTTTGACAATGTTTAAAAAAGTTAAGTCTGGTCCTCTGGACATTCAAAAAACAAAACAAAGCAAAACAACAACAAAAAATGTAGAAACGTTTTGTCTTTCATCCGAAAGACTTCCTCAGTCTGAGGAAGACTGAGAAAGTCTTTCGGATTAAAGACGAAACGTTTCTACATTTTCTTTTTTGTCCAGAGGACCAGATTTAACTTTTTTTAGATTTTTCTACCTGGATTATTGAGCATGCATCAGGATGTTTGACAATGTTGGGGTTTTTTTGGACAATGTTTACATATTCAAGAAAACAATGTGAGCCTCTGCAACTTATGAGAAAAATAAGAATTGCCACGAACGTCTAGAGCAGTGCTATTCAACTGGTGGCCCACGGGCCATTTCTGACCCGCGAATGACTTGAGTCCAGCCTGACGTGGGTTTTGGGTTTGGAGTTCTGTTTATTATGTTTATCATTAAATGTAATAAAACAAACAAATTTAAAAGATAACGGATCATTGTAATACTTGGTTTATTTAGATAATGACTAATTGCTGGATATGAGTTCAGGAGGGGACAATTAAAAATAAAATAAAATAAAAACTGAAAAACTTGGTAAATAAATTAATAAAATGGATACAAATGGATACAAACACTAAAATATGAATACATATGAAGACTCAGAATTTAAAATATATGATGTAGATGACCTGCTTTATTCAATTTTTTTCCTGTAATTAAAGAAAGTGAATATTATAATGAAGAGCAATTTAATAATATTAAAATGACAAAATGTGGGACTTCCGGGGCGGATCACCCCCATGATGGCCACATAGCGAGAGAGCTCCTGGACGAACCAGAATAATTAGAGAAATTTCCCCATATAAATTGAAGAAACTCCAGCAATATAAAGCGTTAAAAAGGGGACAAGAGACAGACCACCACTCTGAACTACAAACGCCGACTGAGGTCAGATGAGTGAGAAAGATGGGATGCAGCAACAGCTAGCTGCTAACGGAACTAAGCTAACAAACGAGACGTAGCACACGAAAATGACTGACTCCGAGCTGATTCTGCGAGAACTAAGAGGGTTCCGCCAAGAAAATAAAGAACAACTCGAGACAATAAAAGAAGAAATCGTGAAGGTAAATACCAGAATGGACGAGGTGGAAGGACGTATTGAGAAGGCAGAAGAAAGGATCCAAAACACGGAAGACGTTATAACGGCCATGCTAAAACTACAGATCAAGATGGAGGATAAATTGTTGGATCTGGAGAGTCGCTCCAGACGCGAAAACATAAGGATGTACGGGGTACCGGAGGGGTCCGAGAAAGAAACAACGATGATCACATTTGTGGAAAATTTACTCCGTGAAGGTCTGGAGTTAAATGACGACATGCCTGATCTACAAATTGAAAGAGCCCACCGATCAGTTGGGCCGCAGCCGCCAGTAAACGCACCACCACGCTCCATCATTATTAAGTCCTTAAGCTCCAGAACCAAAGAGACAATACTCCGCAAAGCATGTCAGGGGAAAGGTTTTAACTGGCAAGAAAACCACATAAATCTGGACCATGACTATCCACCTCTCATACTTAAAAAACAAAGGGAGTATACAGAAATCCGTAAAGTATTAAAGGAGAATAATATTCAATTTCAGAACATCTTCCCAGCCAGGCTGCGCGCGTCAGATATGAAAACAGAACCAAAACTTACGACACCGTGGAGGAGGCATCAGAGGACCTGCAGAGAAGAGGCTTCACCATGACAACCATCAAACCTCCGGAGAAGCTCATGGAGCAGGTACAGTGATGCCCCTTTTCCACCGTCACGGCGCGGGTCGGATATTTCCGGGTTGAAGCGCGTTTGAGGTCTTTCCACTGTTCCAGAAACCGGCTCGCCTCGCTAAATTCTGGCCCGGCTTCTCAAGGGTTCCGAGCGAGCCGCGCCGTGACGTCAGAAACACTGTCGGTCACTGATTGGTCGGGGGGAGGAGTCTGTGGAGTCTTTCCAAACAACCCGATCCACCATTTTTTTCTCTACCGCTTGCCATTAGCGATAACACGAGGAGCGTATCTTTTAGTATTTTGAAGCTATACAACAACAATAATATCAAAGCCGTGGTCAAATGCAGAAGTGCACGTGTTGTTGTGCTTGGTGGCCGACGAAAAAAGTCAAAGCGAGCTAGATGGAGGATTGGAGGGTGGTTTGGACACGACTACTGCTCTACTTGAACCATTTATAGAAGATGGTGAGTGTTTTCTAACTTTAAACATATTTTAAATTACTCATCCCATCGGTTCTGAACATATTTTTAACTAACAAAAGAGGCTGACGCCATAATAGTACAACGTCGGTGCTACGATGCTAAGCTAATTTGCATAAACGCTAACTGTTCTCCGGTCCCGTTTCTCACTGTATTTTATCCAGAACGTCTTTCAGCGCGTGATGGTTCATCTCTAAACTCCACATTAAACCCTCCAAGCCTCCCGGCTCCTGCTCCATCAGAGGAGTCTACACCTGACAGAGCTCCATCAGAGGAGTCTACACCTGACAGAGCTCCATCAGAGGAGTCTACACCTGACAGAGCTCCATCAGAGGAGTCTGCACCTGACAGAGCTCCATGAGAGGAGTCTGCACCTGACAGGTCTCCATCACAGCCCAGCTGCACCTCACAGAGCAGCACAACACTGCAGCTTCTGTGCTCGGTAAGAACAGATGCAACTGTTCCACATCACTTTATTTGTGCCGATAAGGACTTGATTTATTTTATTTTTAAAGTAAAAAACTAAAATGTTGAATAAATACTGAATTGGGATGAAATTATGTACACAGGGTCCCAGTTACAGACAACAAAACGTAAAATAAAAACAGTAATAAGATCTAAGATATGAACTAAGAAAAATATCAACTAAAAAACATCTACTAATAAAACACTAAGCACTAATAGCATTAAACAATCAAAACAATACGTCAAACAGCAACATGAACTTGAGTTTGTGCAGCCTCATGAATATATAACACTGTGAAGAATCACATCATGTAGCTGCTGATCAGTTTCATGTAGCTGCTGATCAGTTTCATGTTGCTGCTGATCAGTTTCATGTTGCTGCTGATCTGTTTCATGTTGCTGTGTTCATGCGTGCTCGTCTGTTCACACAGACTCATGTCCGTGCTGCTGTTCTGCGTATTGTGTTTAATGTTTTTATGCTATTAGAGCTTATCATATTTTTAGTTGATGTTTTTATTAGTTCATATCTTTAGATCTTATTACTGTTTTTCTTTTATATTTTATTGTTGGATGTAACTGGGACCCTGTGAACATAATTTTGATCCACCACATGTACCACATGTGGTGCGAATGACAAAGAATATCTGCATCTGTATAATACTTTCTGATTCATATATCCATTATTATCATTTTCATTATTTTTAAATCAATTTATTTTTCATTTTCTTATTTGATCAGTTTATTATTATTAATATATCTATTATAGCTGTTAGCAGCACCTTTCTTTGTTTCATGCATTTATTCAAAAACAGTATGTAGCTTGAATTAACCACCTGTTTCTTGTTTCTAGTGAAGAGAAAGAGAAAAGAGTCCAGTAAAGAAAAGTCTTATTTCATCACTGAATGAACATGAAGAACTGAACCGGACACAGCAGGAACAACACTTGTGTCTTCTTCTGGATGAAGCCCGTGAGACAAGGGACAGACACAATCATTAGTTGGACGCAGTAGTTTTTATTTTTGTACATTTTTCACTTCTTACTTTTACTATTAAACAATTTTTTTCTTAAGTGGTGTCCTTGAACATTAAATTTCCTAAACAAATTTTACAATGTTAAGTTCATATAGTGTTTGTTTAAATTCATACTGGAATTGAGAAGAATTTCCAATTGCATTTGATCTTTAATGGATCCTAAGAAAAGATTACTAGAATCTGCTCAACTGTTATTATGTTATAATGTTTTGGTTCTAGGATGAAGTGACACAAAAACAGTCAAAAATTCAGAAAGGACAGTTATCATTTATCAGTTATTGGCCGTACAACTGTGGCCTGAGAGATTCAGCTGAAAGTCCTGCCTGGTGCACCTTTTATTTGAACCTGCAGAGATTTGAACAGCTGATCTGAAGCAAACAGGCAGGAGTTCACCTGAACTGACCACTCCTGCTGTTTGATGGTCTCCTCCTTCGCCACCCGTCCATCCATCCATCTATCCATCCATCCATCCATCCATCCATCCATCCATCCATCCATCCTCTTCTGCTTCAGGGTTGTGGGAGCAGCATCTTCACCAGGGAGGCACAGACATCAACAGC